TAATTATTTTACTATTTTTTTTTCGACAAATTATCACATTGAAATATGCCACTTATCATTAAAATTATATTATTTATTATTAATTTTTGTCTATTATTTTATACCGTTTTTTTGTTGACAAATTATAATTTATAGCATTGAATGCCACATAATCTTAATATTTATTATTTGTATTCATATTATTTTGTTAGTCAATATTACAAAATACAATATTAGGTATATATAATTCCAAGCATACAAATTTTTATACATAGGTACTATTTTTTATAATATTTTACTTTTTTCTTATAAATAATTTTATTTATTATTTGTATATTTACCTCCCCTAATTTACGGGCTATATATTGTAATTGTGTATATAGTAACATGTGAGGGCAGCTGGTACATTTGGTTGAGGGAAAATGCTCAACACTCACCTTTAGGACCTTGTACCTACCTTCAAAATATCATAGTACCCACATCAAATCATTTAAATAAATGTTTCAATTTATTTATTTTATTTATGTGATATTAAGTATAATTTTTCATACATTTAAATATTTTACTAAACAAAATTATCAACATTGTCTATCACTATTAGACATTAAAGTAATTTTATAGTCATTGTGACATCTCGAGTTATATCGTTCATGACTATGTGAGTTATGTGGTCGAGTTAGGTCACCAACCACGAGCCGAGACCCAAAAGAGTCGGAGCGTCGTGGATTTTTGGTATTTTCACACCAGCAATGAGGAAACGACAGGTGTCCTAACAATAATAATAAAATAAACATGACGCACTATTTGGTTACAAATAATCATAATATTATTTTAGGTTGGTGTCGAGAAAGCCGTCAGGCATAAGACTAGGACAGAAATAAAATAAAAACACACACTGTAATAATAATAAGTATCTAGCCAATATGGCAATAATAATAATAATAATAATAAATATAAGGTATAGGGATACCAGCCACGATGTTAAATAATATATATATTTACAAAAAAAGTACGTTACCAATTTACCACCATGCTCTTATGTATTATGCTGTGAAACGGCGTACGAAATAGAAGTGTCGTCCGTCCGCTTAGTCTGCTGCATACTCACGAAAAGACGACGAGTGACAGAGACAATGAGAGTAAGGGAACCAGAGTGAGCAATGAGCATGGGGAGATTATGTAAATTAATCGGCCGATATTCCTAAACACGGTATCAACCAGCGTGGCCCGGAACATGGAGACGATATTATAGGGGAGCGTGTGTGCGTTCGCCGTACAGACAGGTATTGTCGTCGATCGCGGACTTGGATCCACGGGACAAAAGTCGCTATCGCACGCACACGGAAACAATATTTATAAATGCAGCCTAATATGTAAAATCGATGGTCAACTGGTCACCCAACTCTGGTCGTCGCATCATAGTTTTAAATATGTTAACAAAATATTTGAATTTTACTACTTTGTCTATGTTTCTAGTCAATGCCTAGGCATTGTTGATATCGACTAGGAACTTATAATATTGGCTAGGTGCCTAGGTATTTACGTTATTACCTAATTTAGATCATTGACGGTAACATATAGATTATAGGTACAATTACACATAATTATTATTATTTTTAATATTTTCTAATTAATTGACTCTTTATACTTATTATTACAATAATAATAATAAAAAAAAAAAAGGAAATGTAAAGAATCACACACGATTTCCGGGATATTTCTCAGGCAACCTCAACATAGTATGTCCTAGCCCCTAAGTAACACTAATAGGCTGAAGGGACTCAATTAGAACAACCTAACAATTTTGGTCGGACTCAACCCGATAACCCAAAAGTATTTGCAGGACTCAATTCAATGTTATCCCTGTCTAGCCTTGCATAATAAAGTATAGGGCACCGAAAAATAATAAATAACATTGAACACTATATTATTCAGGGCTAGACAGTACATTCTATAGGTAGGTAATCTAATTGAGTAGTAACTGTCTAGCTCTGCATAATATAGATATAGTGGCAATCCCGTATAGTGCACCGAACAATAATTTTATGTTTACTACTATGTTTCAGAAACGTGCCTACAGTCTATTACACGTCAGACGCATAGGCGCAACTAGACCTCTAAAACGTAGGGTGCTATAATATTTCATATTTAAAACATAAAATGTATGGTATTTCGACCACTTGCACCCCATATAGTTTCACCAATGGTCAGACGTCTCAATACCTAACAGGTCACAGGCCACAGCAGATAATAGAATCCATTTATATTGTTTTAAGGGTTAAGTAGGTATAGGTAGTTGCTAGTTATGAATTCATAATTATTGTATACAGTATACACAATTTGTGAACTGTCGCCAAACAGATCATTACGAAATGTGGCACATATAGTTTCAAGTATATATTATTAATTATTATCATGGGCATAAGCACAATTTGAATAACTGTTTTTTTTTTTTTTTGGGGGGGGGGCTAAATTTATAGAATCAACACAGACCGTCAGACCCGCAGCGGCTCAGCCCCGCACCCTCTATCCGCTACAACCAATTGTAATCATTTTTACGGTAATAATAAAGAATTTACTTTTTTGGCTAATAGTGTGATTGAAATCAAACATTTTTATATTTTTTTGAACAGATTACAGAAGTCAAACTATCAGTGAGATTTGTTTTAGTTTTAAGCATTTTAAGAGTCACATTATATTAATATTAGATACAAAACACGTATGTCTAGTTAAGATTTGAGAAACTAACACATTCATAATTTTAAAATGGCCTACTATATTAAGTCAAATTTGGTTGTACTTAAAAATGCATGCCTTGATAGCGTAATTCATATTAAATTGAATTCCAATTATCTTAAGTCACTTAAAGAATTGATTTCAAATTTCGACATAATAGTATTGATTATAAATACTGTAGTATTAGTACTATAGTATTGATAATCAATGATATGTAATAGTAAACATAAAAGTAAGTACAATAAAAATTAAATTAAACAAATGATCACTGACCAGCCAAGATATTATTGTCAACGATTTTGAATAATTTCTGAATGTTTTTTTTTCTCTTCCTGAAACGTAGGGGTTTTTAACTTACGAAATTTATAGCATACACAAAAGATAAATGTGATAAATGTATTAATTTTACAATGATGTGTGTTGTGTCTGTCATCTTTTTAGGGCAGTAAAAATGCTTAGATTTTCTTCAACAGTATCTTTTCTAATAGGAAAGTGAATCTAGTTGGTACTCAAAAGTAAAAATTATCCAGTAGTTTTCAAAAGAGCCATGAAAAACAAAAGAAAAATTAAGGGAAAAGCGGGAATGTGAACTCAAAATCTGTTTTCGAAAAAATCGATTTTGGTTTTTGGTTCAACTCTTAAAAAAATGACCTTAGGTACACAAAATTTTGACTAAATGTTTATATTAGCATTTTCTATACACCATAACGATTTCCAAATATTTTGAATTATTTTGAGCTGTTTACAGACATTTTCAGTTTCCATTTTTTTTAAGTTTTTTTTTCTATAAATATCAATAAAATTTTATTTGTTGGTTAAAAAAGGTTGAAAATTTAATAGAAGGCTCCTGGTATATTGTTTCAAAGGAAGATGAAAAAATTAAAAATCCATAATCACAATTTTTTTTTATAAACCTTTAAAGTTCAAACATTGACGAAAATTTGAAAATTACTTCGAGTTAGAAATTCATAAACAGTTTTGTTTTAAATCTAAGATTTGATAATGTAATACAAGACTCCTCATAAGTTTGTTTTCCTTTATAAAAAAAAAAAAAAATGTCTACAAGAAACTCAAATTACATTTTTATGAGCGTAGCAATTCAGATTTTTACAACATATGACATTCACTCAATTTCTCATGTAACGATTTTCTTATTTATAATTTACTCCCACATTTCTGAGATGAATTAAAAAAAACTATACAAGATATGGAAATTTTTTTTTATTTATTAAAACTACATTAAATAAGGTTTTTTTAAAGTTATTTTTTAAAAATAATATCGTCTAAATGATTGCCTTGACGAGCAACGCACATATGGAGCCGTTCTCGAAAGTTTTCCATCACTCTCGCCAGCATATCGAGTGGAATCGCGGAGATTTCTTGACGGATGGCCCCTTTTAGTTCTTACATGGTTCTAGGTCGATGTTTGAAAACTTCAGCTTTGAGGTCTCCCCATAAGAAATAGTCACATGGACTCAAATCAGGGGAGCTAGGAGGCCATGTTATGGTTTTCTTTAAGGCTTCAAATGTGCGTCAATCGAGAAGGCAATCATTTGGACAATATTATTTTTGAAAAATAACTTTTAAAAAAACCTTATGTAATGTAGTTTTATAATTTTAAAAAAATTTCCATATCTTGTATAGTTTTTTTTTTAATTCACCTCGGAAATGTGGGAGTCCATTCTGCTGCACCCTGTACTACTATGCAATAGATTCAATTTAGATTAGAATGGGTAACGTGAAGAGCAGTAAATAGACTGAGAGTAGGGGTTGGGCGATCCAAAGAATACCAAGCAAAATGGGGCATCATTCCTGATGAGGATGAAGAATTGTTATTTTGATCAGTTTCTAGTGCCTACACGAATGGACATAAAACAACATAATCACAACACACTGTCTATTGGTTTAGTGTAAAAGAGTTTAACAGTATTGAAAATCCTTCCCAAAAATACATTTTCTTGACTTTCACGATGATAAAAAACATTTACAACATTCATAATAATGTTATGAAACCGGGGTTCCAGCACAAATAATTTAACGCACGATTATATCGATATTAATTATATAGGTTTTATTACGGGTTTTAACTTTAACTAGTTGTACAAATAATATAAAATGCTCTTCTTAAACATACGTTATGTATAATGCTCTGTTCTAATGCGACTGATCTTCTTCCTCCTCAAAAGGTTACAATCAAAAAACCAACTTCATCGGCTTCTTCACTTTAAACGTCAACCAAAAAACAAAAAGATATTGAATCTCTTTCTTCTTCAGATTCCGAATCAATGTCGTCCATTTCAGAACTAACCCTAACTGACCAAATATCAGGTCAACCTGATTTATACTCACCCTCACTCTCCGTTGTCAAACCTTTACCAGGATCTCTGCCAACTAACATCCGTTCTTCTTCTTCGGGAAAATCAATCTCCAACCGCTCAACGCCTACTCCCACTCAAGACTTTCCACCCGTCGAACAAAATATCAAACCTCCACCACCACTAATCACTTCTACCTCAGGATGGTGAAAAGCAGCGATCAAACTTATGAAAGCAGTTCCTATCGACTCGATAACAGTCAAAGCTTTCCGGAATGACTCGGTCAAAATCCAATGCACTGACTCTGAAATGTTCAGAATTGTACAAAAATATTTTAAGAACACTGAAACTGAATTTTTCACGTTTCCAAGTCCCGAAGAAAAAACACTCAGAGTCGTAATCAGAGGCTTGCCTACTGATTACTCTGACATCGAACTCACCGAAAAACTTGTATCCAAAGGATACGAAATCTCTGCAGTCCGTCAATTTGTTAATGCCGGCAAAAAATTGCCCCTTCATATGGTCTCCTTACCAAACAACCCTGCCAGCAAGTCGATATTTAGGGAATCTTCATTCTTTTATATCTCAGTTAAGGTAGAAGCCTACAAAGCGACAAACCTAGCCCAGTGCTTTAAATGCCAACGATTTGGTCATTCCAGCATCTACTGTGGGTTCACCCCAAGATGCGTGAAATGTGCTAGATCCCACCTGGCAAAAGACTGCCCCAAGACCCTAGAACAGACTCCCAAATGCATTAATTATGAAGGCCCTCACACAGCCAACTACAAACAATGTCCAGAATTCTTAAAGACTAAAGCCGCTAAGCAAGCATCTCTACCCACGTTCAATCAACAACGCGTTCAACCAACTATTTGTCAACCTCCAGCAACCATCACTCCTCCATCTAATGAAGATGCTCTAATCCGCCCTCAATCATACGCAACTGTAGTTGGCCCTAAGCCTTCAAAATTATCAAGCCAGTCTGTCAATCCAGAAGCCATCCAATTGCTCACCAATCTGCTGTCAGAGCTCACAGCCAGCTCCGCCAACATCAGAGACGTTCTCATCTCTACTCTAATTGCTCTTATCCCCCTTCTCCTATCACACAATGTCTAACACCAGAATTATGTTTTGGAACTGTCAAGGCGTTGCTCGGAAATATCACTTCAGTATCTATTAATACTATTGTCCTTTCTTTATATGGAATAGGTAATGGTATTGGGTTGTAAACGGTATATTTGTCATTAGATAGTAGAGGGATTTCTATTACAAAAATTAAATAGTTCTTTTGGGTAAAAATTGTCATTTCCGAGATTCTCAGAAATTCTGTCAAAGATTCTGTGTTTATTTCCATTGGGAGAGTACTTCCCGTTGGTAGATTCATCTTTATTTCTCGCAACTCACTCATAAGTGTCTGTGATGTGAGATCGCTCGTATATACCTTCCCATTGAGAGCTGCGTTTACTATTGCCATGAGATTTTGCGTGTCATAGGCGAATCTATTTAATATTATCTCAAACAAGAATGCTTGTTCCAGTAATTTTGTTTCGAATGATTTTGTGTCGATGTTCTGTGTGTTTTTCTCGATTTTTTGTTGTAGGTGTTTCAGGTTTTTCTTAATTTGCTGCTGATGTATTTTTAAACTTTTCAGTGTATGATTAGTTTCTGTTCTCTCCACTTCCGAGATTCTCGTTATATCGTGTATAAGGTTTAGATTCTTTAATTTGTTTTTACCTAACTCTATTATATTGTCTACAATAAAGTCAGTGTTAATTCTTGAAAACATTCCGTAAATTACGTTAACAGCACTTCCCGATCCACGTCTACTTTTCTTTGCTGTCTGTTGATCATAGTCATTGGCTATCATCAGACTTCGATAGTTGGATTCTATCTCATATAGATATGGTAGTGTTGCTCGTGTAAACTGTTGCAAAAAAGGTTTACATATTCTCGAGAATTCTTCGTCTTCTGATTGATTTGTACAGTACTGTGCTGTTTTCTGATAGTAGGACTTTTTTTTTTTTTTTTTTTTTTTTATTGAACTTAAGCCCGGCGACTAAGGCCATTAGCTGTTGTAGGGGTTATGAACTGTGGTAGAGGGGTAATGTTGGTATGGTAGGTTGTTTTTTACGATTGTTTACGGTTGTTACGGTAGGTAGCAAACACGTGTATGCGTGGCAAGGTTTTAACTACTATGAACCCCGGGTGGTCACCCATCCGGGAGCTAGTAGCTGTGGCCGTTACTTACTCCCAGTCGCATTCCGCGACTGGTAGCAGCCAACGCGCCACGCCAAGCCACGATAGTAGGACTTTAATACATCGTATTCTGCTAATTGTTCGTTTAGGTTTACGTAAACTACTAAATCCCAAGTAATATTTGATAGAACAACTTGACCATGGGATTCATAGTAATGTCCTTGATGTTCTGTGATAGGAGTTATCGCGTACTCTGGTGTTGATTGTCTGTCTTGATGATCCGATTCAATTTTTCTCTGTAGTTGGGCATATCCAACTGTGGTAATTGCAATGATCCTGAAAATAGTTTAACAAGAACATTTGATTTCCTTCGGAGAGTTGTTTTAATAAATTTCTGTGCAGAGTGGCTGGTCTGTTTTTCTTCAATATCGTTATATTTGGAGATTCTTGGTCAGTTTCTATTACCGTATAGCAGTGGTACCCAACCTTATTTATTCTACGCCCCCTTTGTAGATTTTCAAAAATCTCAAGCCCCCCCCCCCACCTATAAATTGAAAAAATTATTGTGATGACTGCTTGCGCCTCCCCAGCGAAGTGTATACGCCCCCAAGGGTTGGAAACACTGCCGTATAGGGTGCTATCCATTTCAGAGCTAGCTTACCTTTACTAGCTTTTTCTTGAATGAGTATCTTTTCACCTATACTTATTGTTAGAGGTGAGATTTTCTGATCGTAACGATCTTTTTATATCTGTTTGGAATCATAGAGATGAGTTTTTGCTTGAGCCTGAGCTTCTTGCATGTTCCTCTTTAATTCAAAATAGTAGTCGTCATAATTGTATTGAGGTTCTGTATTTTTCATAAATGAATTTGGTACTGCTATTGGATGCCCATAGACTAATATGTATGGTTGGTACTTCGTGGAAGTGTGTGTCGTGGAGTTATGGCAGAACATTGCGAATGGGACATGTGTGTCCCAGTTCTGTGGGTATTTATTGACGAAACTGCGTAGATATTCTGCTAGTGTCCGGTGACTTCGTTCCAAAGATCCATTACTTTGTGGATGATACGGACTGGTGGATGTTTGTTTAATTTTCAACAGTTGACACACTTTGTTGAAATATACAATTAATATGTAGTATATGTAGTCAGCCTTGACACGTGTGTACAATATAGTAACTAGTTATGTACGAGCATAAGACTCACTCTCTTTACGGATGTAACATGACCTCGGTCGTGCATATATATAGGGCCTTTGATGTATGTAATATTCACTTGCACAGACGCTGTCATACCGAGTGTACGCGGTGTGTGTGTATAGTCACAGTTTAATTGTCCAGTTGTACGTTATTATATATTATACTTATACATAATCATATTGTCGTGTTATTACTTATTATATTAATGCTAACATCATTAGTCCGTCAAGCTTCACTTTCAACACACTTCCTTAAGGGGACGTTACACACACAATATTTCAGCACGAATATATGACCACGCAAAATGGTAATAACTTGTGTTTGAAGTGGTTTTAGAGAAAAAACACCTATTATAAAATCGAAAGAGGACAATATTTTGGAGATAATGACATATCCGTTTTTTAAAATAATGTTTTTAAAAAAAGTTATTACACTTTAAAAATGTGAAAAATTTTATGTTTTAAACGTCAAAAAGTTAGCTCAATAGTAAATTTATTTTAAAATGGATATGTCATTGTCTCCAAAATATTGACTTCTTTCGATTTTATACAGGTGTTTTTTTCTCTAAAGTCACTTTAAACACAAGTTATTACTATTTTCCGTAGACGTGTTTTAGTGTCGTACGTTCGAATTTAGGTACCGTCATGTGCTGCTTCGATGGCTATAGTGGCAGTGTTCAACATATAGTGTACAAGAAAAAGCCTATAACCCCACCTCGCATCCTCGCGTAATTGCAGTGACAAACCAGGTTTTCTTATCGCAGCCGCACGGCACGCACATATTATATTATTATAATATTGTTTAAATACCAAAACAATTTGGTCATGAAATTATTATTTCCAATACCTCAATTATCATTTATCGAACACTATACCTATAGGATCTACTGTAAAATCTAAAAACAAACTAATAAATATAATAAGATTTCGAAGAATTTACATTGATATTATATAAATATAATACACCTAGGTTAATTGTTAATATAGGTACTATACATAAATAATATATACTTATATTACCTATATAATAAAACATTTAGCGAGTTGCTCAACAAATTATAATTAATTTAGTCTCAGCTCGTGTTTGTGACATTGCTAACATATGTACCATGAAGTACGGTTAGTGGTTACGAACTTCAATATTAGTACCATTGTTTTTTTATTCTTTTTAAACATTTTAAGTTTCTTAAGTTAATAAGATGGCAAACAAATCAAAAAAAAATAAAACACGTGAGTCGGAGAAAATTAACTCGTTCTCTGATTTTAAAGCGATATAATCAAACCAAAAGGTAAGTAATTTCTAAATTATTGTTAGGTTCATATTTTATGTTATGTACACAATTTTCAAATTATAAAAATTAATATGTGTAAAATAACTAACATATTTTGTTCTATTTTTGTTTATAATAATTAAATAAAGTATAGTATTTTTTTTTATTGTAGTTTAAATATTTGAGAATACTTTGATTTAATTTAAAATATTTGGTCCAAAGTATTTCTTAATATTCTTGTCAACATCGATTTCATAGATTCTGAGGAAAGCTTTTAATTAATTACAATTTTACAATTATGTATTTTTCAGATACTGAGCGGAGTGCTGAATCATGAATGTATTGGTTTACAATAAAAAGTATTTTTTTTTTGTCTGTCATCTCCTTTCGGGTCAATAAAACTTCTTTAACTTTCAACATTTCGTTTGATGGGAAAGTGAAACTAGTTTGTACTAATAGGGGGTTGAAAGTAAAAATTCATAGTAGTTTTCACTGGAAGAAACAAAAAAAATTATGGAAAATGGGAATTTTTACGCAAAATCGATTTTCGATTAAATCAATTTTTGGTTTTTGGTGTAACTCTAAAATAAATAAGAGTATGACATACACTTTTGACTGAATGTTTATATTGGCATTTTCTATACACCATAACATTTTCCAAATATTTTGACTTATTTTGAGCTGTTTACGGACATTTTCAGTTTCCATTTTTTTTAGTTTTTTTTTCTGTAAATATTAATTAAATTTTATTTGTTGGTTAAAAAAACTTCAAAATTTAATAGAAGAGTCCTAGATATTGTTTCAAAGCCAGATGGAAAAAATTAAAAATGCATAGTCATAATTTTTTTTTTATAAGTATTTAAAGTTCAAATATTGACAAAATACGTAAAAATAACGAAAATTTGCAAATTATTTTGAGTTAGAAATTCATAAAAAATTTTCTTTTTAAATCTAAGATTTTAAAATGTAATACAAGATTCCTCATGAGTTTGTCTACATTTATCACAAAAAAATGTCTACAAGAAAGTCAAATTAAATTTTTATGAGCGTTTGTTCACAGTGGATATTTGTCATTTACCTACAGCCATCTTCTCATTTTGTTATAATTCAAAATATTTTCAAAATCGTATGGTGTATAGGAAATGCTAATATTAATATTTAGTGAAGTTTTCATGTATCTACAGTTATTCGTTTTTGAATTACAACAAAATAAGGAAATCGCTACATGAGAAAATGCTTATAAAAAAAAATTGTGACAAAGGATTTTTCATATTTTTCATCTGCCTTTGAAACAATATACTAGGAGCCTTCTATTAAATTTTCAAGCTTTTGCAACCAACAAATAAAATTTTATTGATATTTTTAGACAAAATACTAAAAAAAAATGGAAAATGAAAATGTCCCTAAACAGTTCAAAATAAATCAAAATATTTTGAAAATGTTATCGTGTATA